ACGTCAGTTTAGGACAACCAAGTAGTAGTGGTAGTATGGCAAGTCTTTACATAAACAGTACAGTTTATATTTTATGGTTTGCTTTACTGAGTGACTCCATTTAGACAACCATTGGAAGCTAGGAAGCGCTGAGCAGCTAGTTTATCCTAGTATAGAACTTCCCAGAAGGGTTTAACTCAACTCTTAAGAGATATTTAACTTGTGTAGGGTTATGCTTAGGTGATGGCTCTTGGAAATGTTATTCATACTTTCGATTTAATGACCGGATGTTATTCAAAGCGTACACAATCAGTATCTAAAAATATGAACGGAAATTTGTTTTATTACTCACATAGGAGACTGTCCATAAAAGACTTAGTTACTAACCATTGAATTATAAGTTTGAAAACTTCTTATCAGTCTCCGTCTATGAATGTACTTCAATGTGGGTAGTATTATCAGCATCTCATACAAAAAAGCGTTTAGTTTTAAAATAAAATTTAGGATATAGATTGGAGTTATGCAACAGTCACAGGGTAATAAGAATGGAAATAATATACAAAAGATACATAAAAATTATTTGGAGTATGATATATTGACTGCACAATGCGTGCTCCCTCCAAACACATTTCAAAATGCTACCTAGCATCGTCATATGAAGGAAATGTGAATCAGTTAGTTGTCCTACTGTTGAATACATAGTCGATTCCCGTCAGTAATCTCAACCAGAATATTCATTGGAAATTCTTCAAACTCAAACGAATCCGTTCTACGGAAAATTGGATAAGAAATTTTATGCATAACAGAGGCTTTGAAAATTCATCAATTCAAGTCCACCCTTTGTGTGTTTAGATGGGATATATTCAATTCCTTATATTATCATAACCCTAGCACTCTTTATTTTTAATTTTGTAAGTTGACTGAGGCACGTAATCACCAAACAAACAAATCACTCATCTAATTTTTATTCCCATTCTGATTATCCTCTGACTATTGTATACCTTTATTTGGTACGTGAAATTTTCGATGAAGTTTTAAGTTTGTAAGCCAAGGACATAAAATTACACTTGGATGCTGAACTACATAGATTTATTACAAATTCACTCTACCAACTCACAATATCAACTAAAAAGACCTACTGAAGTAAACATTCATGAGTCAACTATTGTATATCTGGGTTGCTTTATGATTAATAATACAATTATTATTATTATTATTAATATTATTATTATTAATCGATTATAGTATGCTATATAGTGAATAGGGGGAAAAAAGTTGAAGAAATGTGGTACAATCACGAATTGATTAATTAACAATAAATAAATATTGAAGTACTTGATTTGTTTTTGTACAACCCCCAAAAGCAACTTAAATAAACAACAGATCACGTGATATATTATAACATTTTGTTGGGATATGCACATAAATAAACAAAGCAAACGATAAGTAGAAGGGAGCAATAGAAGAGGAAACGTGTCGTCATAGCAATAATAGGACAAACTTATACATGAAAAGAAACAATCAGTCTATTTGTAATAATAGACCATTGAATATGTTTATATAAAGGACAACAGAAAAGGACTATTATCGTAACTCCAATATTTGTACAATATTTAAAAAATGCAATAAACTATCAACACATTTTAACAGTTCTATCACTGATAATACTATTACCAGTTCTAACGGGTTTGTTGGTGATATAATTTCGTCAAAAATACAAAAACATATCTTAGAATCTACTATTCTGTGGCCTTATGTAGTAGACAAAATATTCATCTGCTGACCAAAAGGGATGAATATACTGGACAACAGTTCGCGTTGTATAACTCTATATCTGCAAGACACGCAAGTTGTAAGTATTTGTTTACAGATGTTTTGAAAGTATTCACAGAATATGGTGGAATCGGTAAATGAGTGTTGCTCACATTAAGCAGAGTATGAAGCAAAAATGTGACTTATTTAGCGACTGCTTGTGAGGTATCCGTGGAACTGAATTACATGAGGTGAGATTTGAACATCAAACCGTTTAGGTGAAGCTGTGGACCGCCATCGAGTCAAACGTTTAAAACATGTACTACCCATAAGTAACCACTGCTTGATGTGGGACGTCGGCTAATATATATATATATATATATATATATATATATATATATATATATATATATATATATATATATATATTAGCCGCATATGTAAGGTTACTGGAATATTGGCATATGTTCCAATCTCTAACAATTTAATTAGACTTTATCTTTTATTACACAACAAAAAATTATAACAGATTTTGTGATATTATCCACCAGTAGATCCTTCTCTGCTGTCTGAGAAACACACACACATTTACATAGAGTTCTACTACGCGTTATATATGTATATATATTTATATTCCCATGAGGTTAGGTTACTGATTACATTAAAATAATTTGGAATATTTTTTACTTAGCGAGAAACGTTACAAGAAGAATGCCCACATTCAGTTGTTACAGTTGTCCTAGTAACATACTGAATATAATCAGTATGTCAAATGTCTATTTTCTTCTCTCCGTTCTCATTGAACGATCATTATTATCTATAAAATGAGTAGAAATATTTGGTGAGAATTTTTTTCAGATAGAGACAATGAGATTAACTTGAACATCAGCTAAGCTGTGTATGAGCTTTCGTTTATGTATATGCACAAGCCATTAGTGATAGCGTAATATAATGAGTTTTCTAACAGGTGTTGAACATGTTAGGTGAATAAAATAGGCAATCCGCAGAAATCTGTGTTTGACCAAGGGTTAAAACTCATTAGTAAGTACATCTCCAGTGTTGAAGGAAATAATAGGAGGTTCATTGTAGCCCAAATAGCTTAGCGTTAATGTATCTAACTGTGACACAAAGTGATGTTGAAAGTGTCAGTTTATTCAAGATTGCACATATCATTTACGGTCGAGTGTCATATAGCATGAAACATAGGTAAGGCAAGGCTTCCTACCGATTGCCGTCAACCACCCCAGTATTGAGTTTTTTAACATAATGCAAGTATATATGTTATGTTGATACAGAAAGGATTCATCATCAACATTGGAGGGTAACTAATGAAAATAATTATTGATTTCGATAATTTAAAATTTTCCTTAGCACAAAAGGTTGACGATCGTATACGAGCAACAACCTTGGCAGTTCAGTTTTATAAATGTTTTGAATAAAATGATAAGTTACTCAAATGTTTGGGGGCCACCAATTTTAAAGCTTTCTAAATATTACAGTTAAATGAACCGCTTAAGGTTTATTGGAACTAAATAATTTTGATCGTTAACTTACGCGCTATTATAAAATCAATGGAAAACAATCGTGATAATAAATACAGGGAAACGCAGATAGAAACACTGAAATTTTTTGTATACTTATATGTGATTAAGAGGAAAAGATATTGGAATTTTAGTCCATTATATATGGTGGCAGCAGCTCATGTGGTAGGAAACTGTGATGATTGAATACGGGTGAAATTAACTGACTATTGAAAACATTTAAAATATTCATTTGAAATGGTTATTTTATTCATCCCATTGATAGAAAGAACTGGAATTTATCGAATAACCAATATAATTGAAGTGAAATTCAAACCATCGCACAAGTCAGAGAGTGCAGACAAGTGGATGAAGTGTTTGGTGTTTAAAACCAGAAATACTGAGTTCGAATTCCAGTGTGAAAATCAACGCCAGAGTTCCGTGTAAGACAAAGAATGGATGCACCTGTGCCATTTCAAACGACTATCTCGCCATGTTAGTTAGTTAGTTACTATAATCACACGGAACACAACTAGCTAGTCTATACCTATTAACTGGCTAAGTCCATTTGTCAGTGACTTCATGGACTGATGCCATGTTTTGATTTGGGCGCTCTCATTATTCTTCCAGCCTATTCCTACACCAGAAAAAATCGCCCATCGAGGTAGATGGTGGTTGGTCACACGTAACATATGTCGCAACAACCTCAGTTGATGAAGATTTAGTACTTCATCAATCAACTTCCAATCTTTACCTAGTGCTCTATTGCTAATCCAGACAATGCTTGCTCCGTCATCCCAAAATACACGAGTAATACTTCCAAGACACCTGTGACCAAATAGCAGTAATCTAAGACTACCCTCTACTCTTAATGGCCATATTTCACATCCATAAGGTAGAACGGAGCGAAACGCTGGGCGAAAAACGCGCCTTTTGGTTGAAAGAGCGATATCTCACACACTCCACAAGTGACACGAATTAGCAAACGCCAGTCGTGCCTTGTGAATTCGTGCCAAGATTTCGTCAGACGCCAGACCATCAGTACTCTTGAGACTCCCAAGATAAGTGAAGCAGTCGATGCGTGCATCTACTTCACTCCCTATTAATAATTCAAGCGACGACGCAAGCCAATGCTGAAGTAAAATCTTGCATTTCGAGGGACAGAACAAATCCCAATACATGCTTGCATTTTATTGTTGTACAGTTGGTATTCAAAATTATATATATATATATATATATATATATATATATATATATATATATATATATATATATATATATATATATATATTCCGGCTGTAAATTGTACTTTGACGTAGTGGTCAGGCTAATATATTGTGATGACGCAGTTGAGATATATCAGTCGTAACATTAATTCTTTCAGATTTTATCATGCTCAGTATGTTGTTTGAAGAACGGTAGGACAAAATGCGGCGAACTAAGATCAGATGGTGAAGTTTTACTAATTACTATCCTGGAGTGTGATGTCATAACGAAAGGATAGGTAAGAAAAACGTTAGTATTGAAATTTTCCGAACTTATCGGATGAACACTGCATGGTCGGTACCAAGGAGTTACCTCTCGTGCTCTGTGGTCACACTACCAGGTCTCCAAGATCGTTGCTAATCCAGTTTCGTGTTCAAACACCTAAGGAAAAATATCTTTCTACGGTGTTGGCAACTAGGAATTAGATGTACATATATAATGGAAGGTAAAACACTAACCTAACCAGAAAAGACAACAACTTACTCAATTCCGCTAAAACAACACCAGAAGCAGGTGGCGCTGGCCAATCATAACGTTCAATTGGCCTCGGCGTACTTTTATCACGTTCTTGTCCAGCCGGTAAACAAGCTAATTTACGTGTTTCCAATGTGATATTACGATCATTTAATAAAATTGGACCAGATTGACTAATATCATTCATGTATGTTCGATATGATTTCGACGTTAATTGACTGGTATGGTCACCATTAATGTTATCATTGTAATTATTATTGTCATCAGTGGTATTAGATAAAATTCTGGTGATTTTTTTTGCTGATGTTGTTGTCGATAATGACAGTTTATCAGTTTTAAGTTTATTATCATGTAAATTAAAAGCTGATAATGCAAAAGGTTTATTAAGAGAACGTGATGTAATAATATCAGGATGACAATTGTTAGTAGCAGTACTAGTAGTATTAGTTGAACGTGGTGTACTTGTATTATTACTATACAATGGTGAGATTGCACTGCTAGCTGAACGACCAAATAATGTTGAGTAGAATTTTGTACCAGGCGGTAGAAAACGACTTTTACCACCTAGAAAAGTAAAATAAATTGACTGATTAAACGTTTTTAAATTTTTTTAGTACTGGTAGAAAAAGAAAGATATCTTTTTAATTAGTTTCTCATCATGGCTGAGTACGCATCGAAAAAGTCAGTCACATCACTTATGATCCCCATAAATCTTGACATACTTAATAAGACTGGAACCAGTGGTGTACTTCACTTAAAATCAAGTTTCCGAATCCTTAATCAGTCACAGATGTACCCGTTTTAAACAAACATTTAAAAATAAAAAACAAGACAGTTGTTTTATTAATTTCATTTTGTTAAAATGTTGTAGCATTGTTAGAATAAAGATTAACTTGTGTCCAAACATTTTAGATTCAGAAGTTACAATTACTGCGTTGTAACGCTGCAGATAATTATTATCTAGAGTATATGGTTTGTGGCATGCGGTGGAGTTCATGATGCGCGCTCCATCCTTTCAAGAATTCGTTACAGCTGGAGGTACCTGAATGCCAGTATTTATCTTAGGACTGAGACTCGAATGCAGTACTAATCCTTTCAAATGCTAACTTTCTACCCATGGAGTTGCTGAGTTCAAATACCTTCTAACGTATTCAAGGAATATGACATATCATAATCAAAAGGAAACAGGCAAACAATACAGTGACTTATCAAAAAGGGTTTGGATTGTCCCGTTGTTGATGTTATTAACTGAATCTTGATTGGGACATGTATATTCTGTGTGAATTGTTTCAATATAGCCATTCCGCTGTTAGCCAATGATTATAATGAGATAATTCACACAGAATACACATATATTAATCAAAGACTGATCAAAATTTAGTCGACAATGTCAATAACAAGATCAATTAAACCCTTTTCTAAATTATGTATATCGAAAATTCGTATGAAAGTACAATTCAAGCAACATGAAACACGTCGCATTATTCCATTTTTAAAAAAATACTGATTTCAGTGTCATTGTACTTAGAATAAATGGTTCATCAAACATACATGAACTATACGTTCAATTGTTACACAAGTATAAACTATTTCATGAAGTTGAAGGTAAACCGATAGAATATTGAGTCATCCTACTTAGGCAAAGTTAAAATAATAACATGTTAGATGGTTGAAGGTAGTTGTCAGGTAATCATTAATCTATATTTCATGTTTGTTGGAGTTTTTCAACAAGGTGTATCTACAATTTTGTGGGAAGTTATGTTCTCTATGGAATTCGATGCCACGTGAATCATATCCATGTTACCGCGGATATATTCGGTCCACAACTGACCTCTATCAAGAGTTGGGTATTTGCACTAATATAACGAAACGTCACCAACAAATTACAATAGAATTTCATCGGCACTAAGGAATAAATATGATATTGGTTACAACTCAATGATCAATCAGTGCACAAATCTCGGTTACATATGGGATTAGTCGCTAGCCAAATATCTCAGTATTAACGTCACATACTGTGAAGCTGAGTGACATAGGTTTAAATTTCAAGAAGGCGTCAGTAACTTCACGATCGGATGCATGCCTTTTCGATGAAGCTTAGATTTAAGATCTTTTACCAACCACCTAATTCCAACCAACACTTAATAATAAGAAAACAATATGATGAGGGAAATTTTTAGCTCGGAAGCAGATTTCGAAAGTTTTACATTATTTGATCTGGCTAGTTCTATCGTGATTTCGTCACAATTTTAAATAACATCATCAGCATCAGTATAAACTAAAGAAATATACAGTTATCAACAATAAGCCGTAAAATTTCACTACTACAAAACAAACTACAACAATCATACGTGGAGAAATTCGACTAAAAATTTAGAAAGTATGCGGCCCTGATGTTTCTAAGAGAGATGAACAGAGCTTCACGATTACAAATCAGTCAGTCAGCCAGCTTTCAGAGAACGCAATATACCTTCTAAATAAAACAACAAATAGTATATAAACCAAGTTTTTTGCCGAAACTAACAACCCACATAAAAGTGCAAAATATTAACAGAGAAAACAAACAAACGAAACAGTTGTAAGTTATTACAAACTATGTAAATAAGATAGTCCTATTCTTTTTGGTTACTTGTTTAAAAGAAAATTTCATTCAGTCACTTTGTTATTATTGTTGCTATCGTATAATTATTATTGCCTTAGTGTCAGTTTGATTCAATATCTAGTTTATTGAAATAAAAATGGATTTATTGATCGATATTTATTTAATTTTAAAACAGCTCAATATTACATAATCTGCAATACTTGTGAGAAAAATCTGAAACATAATGCAACGTAAAATAACATGCTTTTTGGAAAAAAACACGGAATTAAACTAATACTAGGAACATAATACACATAAATATAATCTTTTGATTTTTTTACAGATTATAAGAAAAAATTAATTGAGTTTATGTATTGACATATGTGATCGAATCTAGAGATTGTTAACAGTAGTTCAACAAACTACAAGAAACCAGCAATTCGGTTGTTTAGAAGAATTCAAGTATGTAGTTAAATTACAAGCAATGCTATATGAAAGAACATAAAAGAAAAAATGAAGGGATTATCCCATTTATTTTGGAGTTTTTATCACCCTCCCGCCCCCTCTCTCTCTTTGTAGTGGTGGATTCCAGTACATCTATTTAGTGAGATTCGGGACTTGTTACAATGGGATGTACTTAAATCCCATCGTTAATATGTACTTCGTTTCAAATACCTAACGTGTTAGCTAATAAGCTGTTGAGCCCAGAGCCCTACTAGCTAGTACAACTCAGATGAATTGTATTTGTAAAAGCTTTTATTTTCCATTTGTTGATCTTTAAAACTGGCCAGCGTCTGATGGTACATTGAATTTCACTGCTGGCCAAATTCAATAAAAATCTGTGAGTAAATGACAGTATTGAAGCCACCTGCTCATGTTGTACATATGCCAGGAGAATATGAACAGTTGCAGTCTTTAATATTAACTAGTATTTGATCACAGATGTCTTAGAAATATTGCTCGTATCTGTTGGGATCACCGGGTAAGTAATAAAGAGGTTAGACACAGGGTATTAGGGAATGATGATAAATCAGTTGATGAGGTTGTAAATCTTCATCAACTGAGATGGTTGGGCTACGTGTTGCGTATGCCTGAACACCGATTACCACGACGCACAATGCTGACCGCTGTTGAGAATGGTTGGAAGAAAGTTAGGGGCGGCCAAACCAAAATGTGGCATCAGTGCTTGAAGTCACTAACTTCTAGTCTGAGCCATGTTGGTAGATACAGACTACTTGTTTGGGGTCCGCTTGACTAACGTAACCAATGGTTAAAGACTCTGAGTGATATGGTTTAGAATCGATCACAATGGCGTTGGTGTATACACTCTTTGTCTTCTCTTAAACCGAAAGATTAAAATTGCTTTATATCTTCATTTCTACAAATTAATTCTTTCTTTCTGTACTATATTCTTATACACAGCCTTTCTTTTATATATTACTAATGAGGTGCGCATGTATGTGCCTGGTCCTACGTTGTAGCTGACTGACTGAGATTCAAAGCGTTTAAGTGTTTTTTGTCTTGAATTGAGGATTTGTCAGTCATTTTTAGGCATCAAAGGACATGTCAAAAATGTATTATTTCAAATTACCACACACATATCAGCACACCGATATACCAGATTAGTAGAGGTAGTAGCAATATCAGTAGTAGTTCGAATGATTACTCATAGAAAACCTGATGATCCAGGAAGGAAAAATGAATCCTCAATATAGAAAGTATAAGATAATTTTAGATCTTAATAACTAAGGGGAACAAAGAGTGAATGTATCTAAAACTTGTTCGAATCCCATAGGGATGATAAACTCTTTAGAGACTGCAGATAAACCTTGCTGACAAGTACCAACATGGAGGAAACCTAGGTTCAGGGTCTGTTATCAGCTACCTCTAAACATCTAACACCAAAGCACAGTACACAGATTGTCGAATTACTTGGATTTGTGACCACATTGCAACTTGACCAATAGAACTGGATCAGAGCTAAGAAACCAATAAACGCGTCATTAGATGATGCTCAATGATCAATCAATGTGATTGATTATTATTCTATTATTCGGTTATGAAAAATCAATTGTATCTATATAACCATGTAAATCATAAAACTAACCATCAGGTAAGTGAAATTGTCGTGGTTGTGACGAACTGTTTAAAGTTGTACTGGATACATTACGTTTATATCGATCATTATTCGGTATGGGGATCTGATTACTCAATCGCATATAGGATTGATTTAAGTATCGACCATAGTTAGAGCTTAGTACTCGTCCACATAAACTCTAAAATACACACCAAATAAAGTAAATAAATATTGTAAACCAAAATAGTTACACTTTCACAGAGCATGTCTAGTCAAATCTAAATAGTTAAAGTGAATTCAAATTAATGACTTGATAATCAAGTGTCTTAATTCCTAAGTAAGCGTGGTGCTGAAGTTAGACGTAGCATCTTAAGTAGAAATAACCTATCTATTGGTAAAGCTATTTCTCATCGTCTCAGTTAGGGTGCATGTTTACTACTCACGGCTTATGTCAAAAGCTATTGCTAAATTTGGAAGCAATATATTCGAAAAAAGCTAGACGCAATGATACGAAGATGTGAAATAAATAGAAGAATTCACCTACGGTTGAATTGAACCAGGTTAGTAATGTGTAGACTTCGTGCTTGGAATTCGTGAAATATTAGTGGTCCATCGTCGGTAATGTTAAATTATACGGATTTAAATCAATCACAAGAGTAATTGCACTTATTTTTTCATCTCTTAACGTTAGAAATTGTAACTATATTTTATACTTTTTATTCCTAGATATTTGAAGCCATATTTACCATTATAAGCTTTTTCTATTATTAGTCGTACTACTACTCATTTTATGTTGATATGAAATACGGTTAATCTAAACCGAAACTGTCTTGTGAAATGTCTTACTTTTTTAATGACTAACTGATTGATTGATTATTAGTCGCTACAAGAAAAGAATTTTTCATACAATATAATCAACTGAGAATATATATTCTCCGAGATCACTTCTCCTTTCATAATCACATTTCAGATGGGATTATGAAAAAGCAGATTTCATCTTCATTTTTTTAAAAAAAATACATATGTAGAATAACACAGTGTTGATCTATATTTTGTTATGATAGATAAAATTTATGTAAATATACTCCTTAGAATCAAAAGGACCCATCTAGCATAAACCCTAGGTCAAGTAGAGTTCCCTGACGACTTCTCCCAACAATCTAAATGTAAACTGTAGTTAGACAGGTGATGATTAATGTGATTTAACAAAAATTATCTTTAGTTGCTTTATTTACCCTCCCCTTTATGAATTACCACGTTATTAGAGAAATAGTTGTAATTCAATGATGGTTTAGTTTTACATTTGACATATATTTATATTTTCTTGTTGTGGTCAGTGTTCCAGTCTCTCTTATTCAACCACATAGTTGAATGAAATAAATCTCATTGAAAAGTCACTTTGAACAGATAAAACTTTGACTACAATTATTTGATAGATCGGATTAACATACACATTTTTACCGTAAACATGTATGATACATATGAATGAATCAAATGTTTCGGCATACCACCACAAATACATTCAACGAACAAAACAAATTGCCTATTGGACAAAAGTTTAGTTTGTTGAAAAGTTCTAAACTTTCCAGAATTCAAAACAAAAGAAAAATGTCGGTGTATATGTGTGCATAATGATTTGAAATAAACTAAGAATATTCTTAGTGAAAACTTAGTTGTTAGGCATGTAAATTTGAAATTTTTAGATTTCAAAACTTGTTGTTAACTTCCGATTAGACTTTAATGTTTGAAACTTGGTTGTGATAGGTGGGTTGGTTAGTCAGTCATAGGTAACGTAGAGTTGAACATATGTACATCGTTCTGAGTTGTCATCTTATGTCAGTACAGTGAAATCATCAAGAAAACTGCCAGAATAATGAGAGTAGTAGAGATGTCAGCGGTAGAAAATATTAGACATTGAATATATGATGGTCTTAGAAGGAAAAATGAATTATCGGTGTCGATGAAGATCCACTATTTCATCAATCAATTTTTCGTTTTAACCTAGTATCCTGGGTCTGACCTTAAGATCGCTCGCTCAATCATTCTAACATTCGTGAGTGAAACAAGAAATTAGACCTAGATCCGTGGTTTCCTATCGATTACCGTTGATCAAATATCAAGACAACAAGTGCACAAGATATTAAGTGACTTAGATGGGTGGCCATATTGCACCGTGATCGATTAAATTTGATCAGTACGACAAGGATAAAGCAGGTATGATACTTATTATCATTCCATGTTTAAAAATACGTAACAAATCAGTAAACCGGAGAAAATGATTCTTAATTAAGAAAATATATAGATAAATAAGGTATATGTGTGCAGGGGGAGACAGGGAAATATGGTTATAGCATATTTTAGATTCAAAGAAATATGAAGAATAGATATGTCTGCACCCCACTAAAAAACTTTTGTCTGCACCAGTTAAAAATTGGCAGATAGTTCAGAAACTCTTAGATACCTTTTTTAAATTACCAGTTGTTCACTTTGTATGATTTATTTTGAAAATAACTCTTCAGAAACTTACGTGTCTAGACAGATGGAAAGACAGGGTGTGAGATTTCTCCTGACGTACATTAGTTTTATCCTGATCAGAGTTTCTATCATATAAATGCTTATAGTTTGAATCCTCCAGATTGGTTGACTAGAAAATTATAGTGAGAAAAGGACTATGAACAAATTTAAATCAACAGAGCCGAAAAACAAGTTTACTGTGAAAGGTACAGAACGACTCCTAACCATCACCACACATGTGCGGTAATGCGAATGAATACTTCAGAATAAAAGTGTGATATGGATTATATTCAACAGAGAAATACAACCATTTAATAACTTATTCTAAACACTTGAAACTCCGAGTCATTCATCATATCCATACACTCCCAAATGAATACAATTGTTCGGCAAACTGGTAAAGTAATTCGATAAAATACGAACAGTTATTCTACATAACCATTAACCAGTGTTTAAACACCTGTGGCTTGTGTCACAACGTCCGACTAAATTCGGGGTTCGAATCTTGAAATTTTTAGTGGTTCAGACAACTTGGTTGGTGTTTGTGTGTTATGTTAATCAGTTGTTGGAGATATTTTGGGATACAGCTGACAATCAACTTTATGGAACAGATGAGCATCCACTTTATCTTCAATTAGATCAAGAGTTTCAAAAATCTCTCAGGCATTTTAATCCGCGAATTCATTGTCTCCTCAAATTACATTATCTATGCCTAGCGGTTTTCTTCTGGTACTAACAACGTTATCACTCTTACTGTTCTGACTAAACTTTTTCTGGACAATTTAATCTCACTGTATTTATGTGGTTTGGCGAATCGAATCAATCGAAATATACTGGGTTTTACGTTGCACAACAAATAAACTGAATCATAGTACTCTAATAGCAATAAAAGTTTATTTTGCAACTACAGCATTGTCTAAAACATGTGAACTGATTCCGAAGTTCTATCAGATTGGAGGCCCAAACTACAAATCAACTACTTTGGTTAAAACACTTTGTTGTTATCACCAACTAACCACATAAAAAATATAACTTAATAGCAATACTTAATGAGTTATACTGCTTTTTTACATAATTTATCCTGATATATAGTTATTCATAAGTTGACCATTATAAGAATTACATAAAAAATAACCCTTTCACTTTGTTAAGTTAGGTTGTAAAAGACATGAAAACGCAGTTTAGTTTGCTATTTAATCCAAAAAATATGTCAAACACTTAGATTGCGGTGATCGTAAAAACAGGGATAGGGTACATAGGAGAAGATGAGTGGAAGTGAATATAATTTAATTAGAGCGATACTTTGTTGTACAAGCGTAAAATAAAAGGGGATTTACATTGCGACTAAAACCAATTTTAAACTGCATTGTTGTAATTATCTATCAGTTGTTTAGCAGAATATATTTCGAAGTGGTAAAAATATATGTTCCCAAAGCATATCTACCCCAATGTTTTCATTTTTTACATGAAACCAAAAAAGATATCAGATCACTTTTATTTTAAAATTTGTGAAATCAAGGCCTAACTAATGATGATATATTAAATTTGTAAATTAGTGCTTAACAGTCATAAATTACCCAGATCATACACATTCAAACGGGAAGAATAACTACTGTTTTTGCATATTAGTATTTAAAAAAATGAAAATAACGTAACGCTAGTAAATTTAGTAGGTAGACGGACGGTGTTGCAAAGTTATTTTACCAACAGATCAAACCATAAACCATTCGGCAAATGTTACAAATGACAACAACAGACCAATCCAAAAACACAATACTTAATTTTTCAAGTGAATAGATGAGCAAAAGGTTTTTAATAATACCTATGGCTTACTTCGCATAAACGCTCTCCAAGACCAGAATCTGTGCCTGCAAGTTAAAATTAATACTCGATAGTGTAATGATTTACTTAAGTATCCTCTCTCCTTGGATGCATGAAGACCATTTTGTTCTATGACAGGTTTTCGAAGAATAGATCTTGATTTTTGAGGAAGTCCAGCAGAAGGAATGCACGAGAAATCGTTTTGCGGTTGGTTCATCTCGATTAGCTGCTCATGGATATACTGTGACGATGCCATATCACTGGCACTGACACAACCTTCATCATCAGTAACAGACAAAGGTGTCTGGAGAAGATTTTTAATAGGAACACTACCAACAGTTGCGGAACAGCATACTTGATTGATACAATGTGGACAATAGAATTTCTCCTGCCAAACAGTAACGCGATCACCAGGACGGAACGTGATCCTATTACGAAAATTAGAAGCAAACGACAAATCATAATGACACATTTTTCACTCACATAAACTAGAACTTACGGAAATAACGTATGAAAACATAAATATTGCTTTAATTGACTGTATATATAACATTGCATTGTCACTACGATCTCTTAAAATAAATGGTAGTTCAAAGTTTCGCATTTTAATTTCCAAAGTAATGTGTTGCCTTACAAATTTATTAGTTACTAGCTTGGTGCTTTATATTAAACGGGTCGATCCATAGACCCAAAAAACAAAGCGAGATAGAATTTTAATCAGAATTATATTGATTGCTAGTGAGAAGACAGTGTTTAAAGCACATCTTGAGTAGCGGTTGACTCGCTTAGGTTTACTGTCAAGCAAGGTTGGAGTTGAATTGCAAAGATATTTTATTTCAGAGACATATATACTAGGACGGTAAGTTTCCGAATTCACACGAAACGAGATTTTGTACATTATCTACTCTCCTTGAGGGAGACTAATAACCAAGCTCAAAGATAATTTGTGGCATCTCCTAGTGCTTGGTGAGACCGCCAATTTATTTCTATTTAAAATCAGTCAACGCTACGTTGATATCACCCAAAAAAGCGATCATCACTAAATCGTTGGAAAGTTCGTTAACAACTGAGTTAAGTTTGGTGAACTGGAACGTCGTTAATGTATAAATACTATCAACCGCGAAGTCTATAGACTTCGTAAGTTGTATTTATACCTCCTATAGAAGTTAATTGCACTTGCGGCCGTATCATGATAGGAAAACCCAAATACGTGAGATATTTAGTTCACAAAATCGTAACCATGTGACACAAAAGAATTACGATAGAACCTCAGAAACTAAAACTTACAGACACTTATTACATTTGAAGCAACCTCGATGAAAAGAGAAGTTGAGGGCTGTCACTACTTCTCCAATTAGATCCTCCGAACAAATTTTGCATTTTGCAACAAAATAATGCCGATAATCATCCTGACAATAGAATCCACCATCCTTCACGAAAAATCCGCCATGTTCAAGGCTTTTGTTACATTCTATGTATTGTTTAGTAAGTCTGAAGTTCCTTACTTGCGCACTTAAAACAGTCCTTATGAAAATACTTATTGGATACTCGCAAAACATCTCCGCGGCATTTTCGACGGCACTTATCACAATAAATTTTACCTTCAAGCGAACTTTATTACTTTTTGCACTTTAATCCTTACCCATTTCTATCTATCGTCCACCACATGAGTGATGTCAAATAAAACTTTTAAGCGACCCCGAGTAAATTTACAATTACCTAACGTGGTAAAACAAAAAAATGGAATACTTTAAAAACATAATCTTTTTCAAACCAGAATAAGAAGTAACTTTATATACACGTAACCAATGTTTCGGAAGTAAGCCTGTGATTTTTGTTGGCTGTATTGGTACATTAATGTTTGCTGAATGCCTCCAAGTCATCCAGTATTATTGTCCAAGTGCTTTTGCAAATTAGGTTAAATTGAGTGATTATCGATGAGTATCTGACTAAGTAATTGGAGAATTACACTTATATGAGGGCTCAAAGTCGTCCGAGTCTGCGTAATATCATGATATTTGTTCACAGTATCAATTAGAGTAATGAAATATTCCATGTTTTCTGACACCGTTATTTTTTTGCTTACGAGTGGTTTTTTTAAAAAAACGGAACACACCCATTAAGACATTAAATCTTTCTTATTAATGATTTTTCAATTAAGTTCAATTCCATGCCTACTATATTCTTGGTTGTTTGAGAGATCTGTAGTGTCTGTCATTATGTTAAGCCCATATATCTTATTTTAACTTTCGGACATCTCAATCTTTTCAGATAACTAGAAAAGTCGCAAATATTTTCGTCCAAAATCGACAAGAAAGTAATCGGTAAAAAGTAATTGGCAGTAAAAGATCAATACTGACTCCTATTGTTCGGTGTAGTTTGAAATTCACGTCCGTTAAATAACTGTAATTACAATGTTTTGCGGTAGGAATATGGAAGCTGAAACACAGTCTAATAAACCATCCCCAACTGCTAAACCAGAACTATCGAACGAACAATGACACAGTAATCAATTAATTCAACAATGACAGCAAGCTCACTCACTGATACAACAGTACTGGTACGATGTCAGTTACTACTGTCCGAACATCAACATTGTTGGTGTCTTCTATGATTGACCTACCACCCCAGGTCTAACACTACATCACAACTCTATGAGCTACCAAAAACTCAAAAGCCTGACATCCCTTCAAAACCTACAGTGGATTTCACAAATATTCCCACATATCCTTAATCTACATATCTAAGCAACATACTGAAGTCACCTTAGCACAGCATAATTAATGTCTTAAAAGATTCATACGAAGTCAAATGAAAGGTCTCGTAGTTGTCCATCAACGGGAACGAACCAGTGTTAAGCTATGAATCTGTATGTAACGACCAAAATGCTAGTGTTCGATTTGAATACAGAACTAACTAAACAAAGTTTATTCGATTATACCAGACTCCATTCTTCTGTACAGCATACGGGGCGTTTTTGAGTTGCTCTCATTAAATCATATCAAAAACACAAGCTCCGTGGTCAATTTAAACGGTTCTAATTTGAGAAGGAGAACACATGATATCAAAATTATAAAATACCTCAAACGATACAGCTTGTTCTATGCAGTCAAGGATTTCTCTAACATAAATTAGAGTGCTAAGCAACAAAAGGGATGGTTAATACACAAGAGTTCAACACCTAAGAATCAATAAAAATATTCCCAACAAGACCGGATCAAATATCTATCCTCAAGGATTCCAGTAGTCTTTCCAAGAAGATAGTCAAAGGTTAACAATCATACACTGAACCATGCCGTGTACTCGAGCTTAGACAAACACGACCTTATTGTCAATAGTGCGAAAACGTGCAGCAGAAAAATTAAGTAGCAGAAGGCAAGTCTTTAACCAAAGTCACATAATAAAGGCTCAGACGAGAAAGACCAAAGAAGATAAACTGTGGTTAAATGAGATATGAATGAAGGTTAAAATACACGACAGGGAGAATAAACAAATAACAGTACTGTACAGAGAAATGCTGTGGAGGGATTTTCGGCGTTTTTTATCATTTATCTTTCAGTTGATATTCATCAAGTGTTGCGTGCTATTCTCAGATTAATTTTATGTAGTATAGTACTAAATCATCTTCTGTTGAAAATTTACACAAACTCTGTTGATGTGGCGCAGTTGAATTTGTTTCAGTTCCTTCTCTAGGTCTTTGTTTGTACTCACTTTATGATTTGGTCTATATAGGCTGAAAAGTTTCCATATCATTTCTAAATTATCCACTGTTTCGACAAGATAATAAAGTAATATAGTGTACATGGGATGTGCCTTGTATCGGAATCCGAGAGTTTTAATCCATGTAGAATTCGACATTCATAAATACCTCCTACAAACCAGTTACAAGCCTTCACGAATACTCTTATACTTTCTAGAAAAGTTTGTTTCAACTTTAACTCTAAGTCACTGAGGACGTTCTGCCGTCTAAAAAATGATAACGGATTTGAGTCACTGTGATATGTACAAACGTTTAACTGATGAGTTCCAAGTAAGGTCAAATGAATGCCATGAACACTGCAAAACGATCATCGTGTCATGTGAAAACTTTCCATAAAACTTTGAGTATAAGGTTTTGAATTGGTGTAAAATCTTCTCTAAAATCAACGAATTTACATTCTCGATACTTTCTTGAAATTATTCGATTAAATATGTATTCTGTCCAACATAAAGAAAAATGTCAATTCATTTCCTAATTTCAGTTATCAGCAAACTTAAGAAGAATACTATCTCATGAAAGCGAGGTGAGCTTTTCAATAAAATTGACGTTATATTCATGTGAATAGAACAATTAGAAAGGTAGTGATCTCACCGCCAAAGAATAAAGCAATATATCTCAACCATTATAAAACATTTGCCTTTGCGTTAACCTCTTCTACTAGTATGCATCTAATAAATAATTTTGAGAGAAGCGCATGAGGGTGATCTGCTGTACGCTTATTCATCCTAGTGTTTCTAATCATTCAGAAACTTGATTCCGAACTATGAAATATGTCGACACAAACTCAAATCAAACAATGTTAAATTTAGATTGCTGAGTGTAATAGTTCTATGAAAATAAATATTCTACTGGAGTTTAAACTATTGTAAGTGTTTTGATTAGGCTTTAAAATTATTTTGAGATTGAAAAATAGCAATATTATTGTATATCATAAGAGAGGGCAAAATGCGAAACAGTGTTTACAGTAAGAAACGATGTAAAGTATGGTGCAGGGAATCAGAGATGAAGTTTCTTATATTGGTGACTGTAACGACCAAACTACCAGTATTCGGTTTGAACACAGGACTGACGAACTGGAACGTATTCGAATAGGTCAGACTACGATCTTCTGTATAGCTCGCCAAGCGTTTTTGAGACACTCTAATTAAATTATATCAAACACAAGCTCTGTGCTCAATTTATGCGGTTCTAATTTAAGAAATAGAACAAATTATATCAAAAATACAAAATGCCTCAAACGGTACAGCCTGTGCTATACAGTCAGAAGTTTCTCTAACACAATGTAGTGCGCTAAACAATAAAAGAATCAGTCAATACCAAAGGATTTGATACCTGAGACTCAACAAATATATTCTCAAAAAACGGGATCAATTATCGATCTGCAGCGACTCCAGAAATCCTCCCAAGCAGACAGTCAAAGGGTTAACGGTCACACTGAATCACGCCGTGACCCTGAGCTTAGTCAAACACGACCTCACTGTCAATAGTCCGTCAACATGCAATAAAAAATTAGGTAACAAAAAGATAAGTTTTAAATCAAAATCACATAATGAAAGCTCAAACGAGATCTGAACAACGGTTAAAATATATGACAGGGTGAAGAAACAAATAAATAAAAATACTGTCCAACATAAAAGGCTGTGGAGGGATTTTCATCGTTCTTTTTCCGTTACAGTGACTCTCAGTCAACAAAATACAGGGTCAATTAGTGTTTTCTTCTATATAACTCAAAGCATCTAACTTATCATGTAGAACAGTGAAGGAAATGAAATTTATAAGACTAATTCATAATATCATACATGTATTTATTTGGTTTAGTTTTTCCACAATAATGTGCCAACACAAACTATTCTTCAATAATGACATCTGACAGTCACGAGTAAGAAGTAAAATAATCTAACTACTCGAAAATGCATATATTGTACGGCTAGCGAAAGTAAGTTTTTATATTAATCATTGAAAACAGTCACAACAACTGCAGTTTGACAATATTATAAGTGTTACAAATACAATCAACACGATTGAACCTAGAAATGGAAACCATTAAGGACTGCTCTGAATTTTCGTTTTTATCACTTGTAAAGATGAAGGTAGTGATATTTTTTTAAATCTCTGACACATCGATTGCAAGAATCTGGTGAAATGAGGAGTTTTTCTTGCTTTCAAAACGAAAACCTGCTGTATCAAAACCTTGTCTTATGAAATAACTCAGTTTCCTAGGCAGCCTCCAAAAAACGTGTAAAATCATCCACATGATGAAACGAATATAGAAGAAGGCAGATCGGAAAATAAATTGATAGTTTGAAAACTCTGATTGCTATTTCGTTGTCATATGCCTATAGGAATGAAATGATGGATAGAAAGATATATGAAAGTACAGAAAGATTGTTAGATAGACAACATACAAAGGTCTGATCTACTTTGCTGTGAAAAACTGTGGTTTCATTTACCCGAATTTTTATTTAAGACCTATTTGTCATTAAGTTCATGTAAATAGCTGAGTTTCTGTACGCTGTGTCACTGCGATCACCACAGTCCATCTCATTCCACTCCCTTTTGTTGTAAGGCTTCCTAGTACTTGTCAAGATCCTGCAATATGTGTATCACTCACAACTTTCGAGCGTATAATATAACATTTATCTGTTTTTAAATATAATTGTTATTATGAGCATTATATTTCTGGTAGAATATAGAATTCTCAGCACAATGTATTTCAACAAGTTTCCGTTTCTTACTTTTTGGTCGATTCTGACGACAAATATTGAGTGATTGCCAGTTAGAAGTTAGTAGTTTAGTCAATCGACGTCTAAATAATGTACATTCGTTTCGCCGCATATTGCCAAAAACCACGATACCTCTGGTTGGGCCTTTTGTAATTTGTACAACGAAAGGTTGTGCACTTTTCAGAAACTCATTTGAATAGGCTATGCGATTAGCAGCCGTAA